TTGCAACCTTAAAATGTAAAATTAATGTGCACCTAAAAAATCCATCATGGTTGTTTTAATGTTAAAAAAATTGATCATCTTGATGTTGAGATGTATGAATATGAAAAGAAAAACAAATTTCAAGTCCCAAAAATAGTGTATCTTGCAACAACACATTATCTGGACCGTCCATTTTCAAAATTTTCATATGTCTATAGATCTACTCGATTTGAACCATTTTTAGAATTTAAAATTCTATAACTAGAGATGAAAATAGATTCTTAAGTCATCCTAATAATTTTTTACACCTAAATTAAATTTATAATAAAGTTTGGGGGTGCACTTTAATTGATTGTTTAAAGTTGCAACCTCATGGAAACCACACCCACATTTATAACTTGTACATATATTAACAAATAAATTATTGTTCATTTATTATTGTTATTATAACATATTTCATATAGCAATAAAAATTTAACATAATTTTAATTTGTATTAAGTTATTGTTATATAGAATATGTTATTGTTATGTTCTATCTATGAATGTAATTGTTATATTTAATATTAGAATGTAGCTTATTAAAATGTTAGTAAACAAGAGAATAAAAAATAATTGTCTTTCAATACTTTTTCACTTTGTTTTTTTGTCTATCTACCATTTTTAGCGGTCTCCACATTTCACGGGATCCCAACCTAGAGAAGACCGAGCATCACAGGGATTAGACAAAATCACACGTAATTACTGCAGCTAGGTTATTAGTAGTGGAATAAATTGGTTCAAGTAGCACTTGACTGGGTTAAGCGGAGGTTGCTCCATGCCAAATCATTCTGACAACGGTGAGGCATACATGGAACAACTCAATGAATTGGCACCAACACAATGAAGAGGAAGATTGGCATATCTTTTATTTTGGTATTAGGTTGTATTTAGATTGGCAGGCGCTGTATTTTAGACTATATATTCATATCGATGATGATTATAAACTTTTTTTTTTTTAACGATGTGAATATGATGGTCAAAGATGTCCAAACAAGGAAACAATATTTCAATATTCACAAATATTTGCAAAATAATGAAAGTATATAATGCACTACTCTTTTTTATTTTTCAAAAACTCAATATATAGTATTTTTAGGAATTTGTAACATTTTTTGAAAATTTGTTTAGGGCAATTTCGGTGAATGTCTTATCACAAATTGTGAATCCGACCTCATTCTCAAGGGGCCCATTTAGGGTCACCAACATGAATTTTTAAACATGGGGAATAACTCAACTAACCAAAGATAGGCCTAATTGCATGTGATTCCCACCCAAGATATGCAACAGGGGAAACAAAATACCAATGACATCAAAATTAAATCAGTGATTTAAAATGCGGCCGCATCAGGCACTATGTGCCATCCAACACATCGCACTTTCCCCGCATATGTGGTTTGGAGAGATGCACCGGCATCAGAGCCGCATCCCGCATCGACTTCATCAGGCGGCATAATATGTCTACCATTTTTTTCAAAAATATACCCCTTGGGCAGGGGCAATAAGATCATTTTGATCTTTGAAATCGGGGGAAAGGGTTTGGAGGTATTAAACCACCCAAACAACATTTTTGAACCACATCCATACCTTTTATTGGATCGATTGAATCAAAAGAAAATTTGGGCAAAAATTTTATTTGTTGAAGTTCTTCAATTTGTAATATAAGATACTTCATACTAAAAGTCCACTTTTCAAATAAAATTTGTAATTTTGAAGAGTTGCATGGACTGCTACAATAAAGTTACTAATTAATCAGTTTATAAAATTTATTGATCTTCATAAATGCTCTGATACCGTAAAGTTACAATATTTTTATAAATTTATAAAGTTTATAAAAGGTATACAAATCAAGTCGAAGAACTTCATGGACTCTTTTCAAGATTAAAGAGTTTATAAATTTTGTAACTTTAAAGTTTTTTATTGCAGATTTGTGCTTATGGTTGTTGATTGTTGAATGTTTTATGAAGCTGATTTTAAGTTTCTAGTTTCTATTAGGGGATACTGGATACATAATCTTTTACAGCTAATACTTTTGGAGTTAATGAATAATTTAGATATGTACTATCACATATATCACCTCCATATTTTTTTATATGTATTAATCTATTTTTTAATATTTTTTTATATTTATTAATTGCATCATTGCGATGCACTTGCATCGGAACCGCATTGGCCCCCTCAATGCATCTGAACCGCATCGAGCGGTATCGGCCCCCTCAATGCTTTTGGCTGCATCTCGCACTTTAAAACATTGAATTCAATGTATACTACTATCACATATATCACCTGAATTCAACATATACCTACTATCACATATATCACCTGAATTCCTACTATCACATATATCACTTGAATTCAACATATACCTATTATCACATATATCACTTGAATTCCTACTATCACATATATCATTTCTATATTTTTTTTTCATATTTTTTTTATGTATTAACCTATTTTTATTAGAATTTTTTTATATTTATTGACTGAATTTTTTATATTTATTGATCGCACAGATTCGATCACATATATCAGTTTTATATTTTTTTTCCATAATTTTTTTTTATGCATTAACCTACCTACTATCACATATATCACTTGAATTCCTACTATCACATATATCATTTCTATATTTTTTTTTCATATTTTTTTTATGTATTAACTTATTTTTTTAAAATTTTTTATATTTATTGATCGCACAGATTCGATCACATATATCAGTTTTATATTTTTTTTCCATAATTTTTTTTTATGCATTAACCTATTTTTTTAAAAAAAATTTTATATTTATTGACTGAATTTCGATCACATATATCATTTCTATATTTTTTTCCATAATTTTTTTTTATGTATAAACCTATTTTTTTTAGAATTTTTTTATATTTATTGATTGAATTTTTTATATTTATTGATCGCACATATTCAGACCGCATCAAGCTGAAATTTTTTATATTTATTGACCGCATCAAGCCGAAATTTTTTATATTTATTGACCGCATTGTAGATGACCACGTTTAATTTTTTATATTTATTGATGAAACCGCATCGACGTGTGTCGTGTGTCAGCCCACAAAAGAGAGCATCATTGCGGATGACCACGTTTAATTTTTTATATTTATAGACCGTATGAAACCGCATCGAGCATCATTGCGGATGACCACGTTTAATTTTTTATATTTATTTATATTTATTGACCGTATGAAACCGCATCGACGTGTCGTGTGTCAGCCCACAAAAGAGCATCCTGCACTTCAACGATTAAGATACACATAATCGGTTCTATTGCCACGTGTGCCTCTGTCATCCTCATAGTGGATCAAGCTTTTTGCATTTGATATTAATAATAGTACCGAGGAGGCTTTTATGGACCTCAAATTTATTTTGTTTCTTCGATGTGGGATTTGAGCATGGTAGTTAGAGCTTGAATAGGTAATACAATATATTTTTTTATTATAAAAGATAAGACAGCAAGTGGGGTTGTAGATTAATTGGTTATCACGTTTGTCTCCCTCTCAAGAACTTTCTAGTTCGAACCCTAATAAAAAAACAAAAATGAATACAAATACAAATAAATAAATAAAAGTTACTTTGATAAAAAAATAAAAGCTACACCCTCTTTTTATTTTTTCCTCAATAAGAGGGGTGTGCGCCCGATTATTAAAAATAATAATTGAGTGATAGGGCCCACCACACCTATCTTTCACCAAAAAATATTAAATTTACTTATAAAAAAAATATAAATAAAAGTGGCCCACCACACCTATCTTTCACCAAAAAATATTAAATTTACTTATAAAAAACAAATATAAATAAAAGTTACCTTGACAAAAAATAAAAGTTACACCGTCTTCTTATTTTAAAATAATTAAAAATCATAATTGGGTGATAGGGCCCACCACACCTATCTTTCACAAAAAAAAAATTAAATTTACTTATAAAAAATAAAAAAAAATTAAAGTTACCTTGACAAAAAAATTAAAAGTTACACAATCTTCTTATTTTTCTTGTCAATAAGAGACGTGAGTGCCCGGCAATAAATTACATGATAAAAAAATAAAATAAAATTATTAACAATAATAATTGGGTGATAGGACCCACCACACCTATCTTTCACTAAAAAAAATTTGAAGTTACTTATCAAAAAATCAAAATAAAGAAACTAATACTATTAGGCTATCATCTAATGGGATTATTTTATTATATAATTAATATTAGACTATTAGCTAATTAGAATTTTAAAAAATAGTAATAGCTAACTTATACCACTTAAGAATTTTTTTTAAGTTACTTTATCAATTACCCTACATTGTAAGTATGAATTTATTTATTTATTTATTTTTAAATTTTATTAAAATATGATTGTAAATTTATATTTTTTAAATTCTATATTTCTATCCACACTAATTATTATAATTAGATTTATTTATTTGTCAAGGTCACACCCTTGTTTTTTGAATCACATTTATTATAATATTATAATTAATAATTATACTAATTATAATGATAACCAAATCTTATATTTTATTTACTAATTTATTTACATTATAAAGTATACAATGTATTATTTTTTGTTATAGTTATAAATTAGATTTTTTAAATTAGATGATACTATAAGACAAATTTCAAATTTATTCTTATTTGTATAGCAAAATGATGATAAAATAATAAAATACAAACCAATAATCTAATTTCAATATATAATATTGTATTTTGTTAGGTTTTAATAAATGTTTGATGAAAATCATCATAAAACATCTCAATATTCTCATATTGATGCAAAAAAATAAAAGTTATTAGTGTAGTACTCTCATTTCTTATTCGATTCTTGAAAACATTTATAATGATTTTTAATAATTTTTTTGAATTTTGTTTAAATCCAAATAAAACCGATTCGGCCGATTTTCGATCCGAAACGCCTATTCACTGATCCGGATGGGTTTTTGGGATACCCGATCTAGGATACCGATCCATTTTTTAAACCGCTGCATAAATTGTAAGTCTTCTTGTATTCATACATACAACATGCGGGTAAAATACATTGTGTATGTGTGTGTTACACAGATAACACAACTTTTGGGAGATGAGAAATGTTCATATGCACTATTCATCATCAGTGTCCATTAAACAGGACCCATCATCCACATTGGCAAGAGGGTTGTATAAGTGTGAGCTTGGATCCATGCATCCTGCAACCAGATCTAGATTGCAGCGGTCTCCCTGAAATGAAAACCAAGATGCACAACTAAGACCAAGTTCAACGAGTCACAAATTGGAGATAATGTACAGTAAGCATCAAAATCCAACAATCTTTCATAAAGACCTACCCCTTCTACAATGAGGTTGCCAATCATGGAACATCGATTGATGACAATGTTGGAGTCTGGAAAGATCGCTTTTTCACAGGCACCTTCCTTGCCCAATTCCTCTGCCAGACCCTGCATAAACGCAATCCTGTTAGTTAGCTGTCCAGTCCTTCCATATCATGCTTGAATTATGAATGCCTTTCAGCTTACATTTACTAAGCGCAACAGGCAACTCTCTCTCTCTCTCTGTCTCTCTCTGAGCCAACCACTAAAAGAATTTTAAGTGTTCAAAGAGTGGGACACAATTTAATAAGATTTCTCTGTGGATCTCATCATGAGGCCTCCATAGTACACTCGATGGAAGCCGATATACATGTCAGCATGTATTTGATTGTCCCACAGGCCAGAATTACATGATAAAATGAAGTTTGAAGGCAGAGAAAGCTAGATTCATTCAAGTCCAAATGTCTCTTGCAACCAAAACCATGAACCGATGTGCATTTCTAAGATGCCATTGTTGCAATGTCATGGTAGAGATCTCATATTTCATTAAGATTAGTCTAAGAGATTTATTAATCAGACATAGCAGCTAGAAAGGGGCACAAAGAATCACTCAATTAGATCCATTTAGTGAAAGAGAGAATGGAGCAACAAGAAAACGTATTGAGTTAACCTTGTTAAAGAAGCTAAACGGCTTGTTGCGCCATGCCCTTAAAACTTCAAACTGCAGCTTGTAGGGACCATCCCAATCAGCCCCATTTGTGAACGAGAAAATCAAGTTCATAGCTGGCACAAAACTTCACTTTCAGTAAGAAGGAAGCTCTATCTGGTTTCAAGTAAAGTAAATTTACAAACCATGCTTAGGAACACATATTTTGATTGAATATATAGGAGGATCTGCTTTCCCTCGATCTCTTCTGTTCATTTTCCTAGGCTCGCCACCACACATTATAGGTTGATTAAAACCCCCTGCATAAAATTCATAACCCTACTTGTAAATTCGTAATGGTCAAGAGTCTTATTGTTATGCATGTAAACTCTTTAAAGCATTCCATGATGTGTGAAACATCTTACCATTGAATGCGATACCAAATTCTTCATTTGGGACCAATTTACTAGCTTCAGGATTGTAGAAAATGGTTAACTTCTCTCCCTGTCATACTTTAAAAGAGCTTTTTAGATAAATTATATAAAGCTACAAAAACAAATGGTAATAGAAACATGAAATGGAATGTTTGGCCTGACATACAGAAGTGGGAGGAAGGCCATTCATGGTTTTCCAAAACACTGGAGCCCTTCCAATGTCGAATGCAGCCCAAGTGGGAAGAGTGTACCTGAAAATTGCTCAATAAGATTAGAAAGCATGGAATTCCATAAGAAGTTCCCATGTCAAATGAGTCTAATGGTACGAGCATCCATAAAAATCAATCACTATAAAAAATATTTATAAAGATTAAAATCATATAACTGAAATAATTTCTTTGGCCAATGGAACAAACTAGGCCAGGCACAGTTAATTACTCATGCTCGCCAACATACTATATTAAACGGCATAAGCACCCAATTGAATATCGATAATATATATGCACAAGCTGTGCCAATGCAGGCATACCACATGGGAACTACATCTAGATAAGTACGAAATTATATGGGCATGCATACTACATACAAATGCATGCATGTATGGATCTATCTATTCATTACCCTACAGTGCACCTGAATTTCATGTTTGGAATTCACATAAGGAAAAATCATTCAAGGCCATTACTCTTTGGTTTCCTCCTGGACAGTGGTGGAAACGGCACACACTTTCCTAATTATTCGAACCATCCTGCGGCTATTTGGTATATGCTTCAGCAAACAGGCACCCAAGAAATCTGTAGCTGTATTCATAAAATTCAACTAATAAGTGTATAAAGATAATTAACAAGGGAGAAGATATAATATGTCGTATATGCTCATATGGTTGAAAATGCACGATAGATTTTATCGTGGAGATCATCATCATCCAAGCCTTTTCCCAACTAATTGGGGACATAGGAAACGATAACTATCTAACACATCCAACAGTTGCAATATTCAAAAAAATAAAATAAAATAAATATCTAACACATCCAATGCATGCTTATTTTTTGTTAATTTGCAGAAAACGCTACTAGAATAGTTATAAGGTCCATAAATACATGCAAAGACATGCAAAGAATAGGGATCATAAGCAGTTTCATTAAAAAACAGCAGAAGTTATGTAATAGTATGATGCATTATCAACATCTATATATATTGGGTTCATTTGCATATATTCCGATGACAAACAACACTCTATGAAGATATGACAAGCATATACTTTTTTTGTACATAGAACTGCTCATTTGTTTTATGTCATTCTGTAAACTGAAAGGATCCAAGGTCTAATCGAAACCATGTTCTCTGTCCATCTAAAGAAAAAGGAATAGTACCAAACTGTTTCAACAGTATGAAACAGTATAAAAATAGTAACTTTGTAGAAAATCCAAAAATAGAATCAACTCACTTAACATATGAATACAGCTACAGATTTCTTTAACATATTTTGAATTTTAATTGTAGAGCACCAGACACACATTTAGTAAAATGGATGAAATTTTCCACCATCAAGCGCAAGCAAAGATTTAAAAGGCACAAAGATCTCTGTAGATGGTGCAAAAGCAGCTGTCTTAGGAAACACTAAGATTCTAAGCTGAGAACAATAAAGATCTAATAACTTCCATGTAATTGACCACAACACTAGGATCATTAGATGCAAAAAATAACAAATTAAGATAAGACAAACATCCTTCCTAAAGACAAAAGGAAGTTTTCTTCTTAGTTTTCTTGCCATCAACATTACGATGACTAGATCAGACTGATATCAACTGGAGGTCCGGTGACCATCTTGACTCAGACAAAAATAAGTTTACTTGTATCTTTTCTTAGAAACCAATTATGATAGGTATTACCACCATAAGCAACACCTTACCATCACATCAAAGTAACCAGTTCCAAGAATGGTCCCAAAAGTGAGCTTGTATTTTTCACACAGAAGAAGGGGAAGAAAGGGATATAAGGCATATTGGGCATCAGCCACCTGAACGCTATGAACATATATCACACTTTATTTTAATAGGAAAGCAAAACAATAAATAAAGTACACGGGAAATTAACAATAAAATAGAGTTGAGAACAGGGCCATTGGCTCAGTGGTTGACGCGCCAAGGTTTCTATGCCCAACCTATTCAACTGACCTAAAAGAGACAATATTGAGTTCATCAATTTACAGCTAGGCAGTTCTAACAAACCCATGATGCGTTCAACATAGCTTATTGAAATAGCTTCTTAACTATGATTCGGACAGGAAGGAAGGCTCCGCTTTCATGAATTAAGGTACAAAAAGAGGTGAAGAAACTTGAAATTTGGAACCATACAAAAAAGCGTGGCTAAAGTTGGTGAAGGCCACAAGCCAAGGAAATTTACAATAAGGAGGAAAGTTTTTTTGCCATCATCATAGAAAAACTACAAACTCGGATAAGCATTCGAGGGGAATATGAAGAATAAGCATCGGAAGCCATAAAGAGCTTACAAGACAAAGGAACTACCACTCTCCGATACAAGAAGTACATGATATAGTAGGAATCCAAGACATAGATGATGAAAAATTTCTCTCTTTCTCCATTTGGGTAAAGCTACAGCTTCAAACTAAAAATATTTACATAACCTCTTTACTATATTCAGCTGAGATTTCCATTGCTCTTTGGTAAGTCCCAGTACAAGCAATTTTTGCCAGATTTGAATATTTCACCAACGTTGGTTTCTCTTGCTTAATTTGTTTTATATATTATTTTTGTTGCTGAATTTGTCACAAAAGGAAATAGTATCTGCACATTGTCTATGAATTCCTAATGTGAGTTTAGTTAAACTCAATTGAGAATTTTGAAACATCAGAGGATTATATTCAACATGCTGAAATCCCATATAAAATCCCCTAATGACATAAGTACTCATGTTCTAGTCTAAATTTGTTAGTATTCGGAAATTCCGAGAACTTTAACTGGCATGAAAGAAATTATTGAACTCACCCATGAGCTAAGTATCTCAAGCCTTTTTGCATACAATTCCCAACGTACATTCAGATAGAAAAACCATGGGTCTCCTCCTCTAAGAGGTAAGAGACATTAATGGGCAAAAAACAAAAAAAAATACTCCTCCAAAATAATAATTTCCAAGACAAGAAGGTAAGTCAAAAAGCTCAGTTTATCTCTAAATCAGAATAAGTTCTAGTCCCAATTTCCAAAGATCTAGGGGCAAAAAATACAAAAAATTGGAGAAGAAATGGAGAGAGAGAGAGATGCAAAACAGAGAGAGAATGAGTATAAGCAAAGGAAGGAATTGGATAGAAAGTCAAGAGTATGATTAAGAGAGAGAAAGTGAAGAAAGTGTTGAGACTTACAGAAGAGAGGAGACGGTTTGCGATGGTTGAGGAAGCAGAAGGGCGATGGGTTGAGAGCAGTGGACGCCATGGCACTTGCACTTCTCTCTCACTCTTCTCTTTCCTCTTTCTCTCTTTCTATGACTCTCAGTGCCAATAAATTCAAGACTTCCAAGTTCAAATATGCAGAGTGAGAGGCCTCATCTGTGGAGGACAAAGATAAATGCGGGCCCAGTAAATGAGGGCCATAATAATAAGAAGTTGGAGTGACGTAATAACTTTCGTAAAATCTTAGAAATATCTTCGTATCAGCAAATATCTCAATCCCTCGATATGGCAACATGGATTTTAAAAAGTAGAGCCTCACCTCAAAACTAACAAAAAATAGTGTTTATATATATACAATATCGGTAAACTTTTTGAGCTTTAAATTTGATCGTGGTTGTGCGAAATTAAGTATAGAGTCATTATAGATTGTTTATACCCCAAGTGGTTTTAAGATAAGAATTCGAAGCTTTTACTTTGTTTTCATAAAACCTAGGGCTTATAGAAACTGCTTCTTTTAAAAATTGCCATTTCTCTAAAGTCAAGAATCCACTTGATTTGAATAGAAGCATCTAGGGTCTATTTAGATCCCTCATAAAGCTTAATAGGAAATAGTTTTTAAAGGGGATTGTCCGAATTGATTTTTACCAAAAAATAATCTCTATGTTGGGTCCAAATAAGAGAATTTATATTTCTCTTTACAAGTTAAAA